ACTGTCTGATCTACACGCTTATCTGAGTGAGCATAACAGTATTTAGTTACTACTAGTCTCTGTAATGAATATTTTATTAATTACATCACTGTGTATGATCGCGATAACCAGGTGAGAAGGGTTTCGTACGTGAGGGGAGCAACCATATGAACGGTCACTCGGTTGTGACGCTTGGTGTCTGGATGCCAATGGTATTCTGAGATCCTTCGATGGATAAACGCTTGACGCATCGCCATCACAGCTGACCCCAAAATAATAGGAGCCAATTCTGGGTACCTGAATTCTTCGGATTCGAAATTCATCCATGAAATGACAAAACATGTCTACTCGTTTTTCTATTAGCTCAAACAAAACATGTCTAAGGCTGAAATATGGCACCGTTGTCAGTGGCACACACGACATGCTTTGTAAAACCCAGCAAGACAACACTATGGTATTTACCAAAAGCTTAACCACAAGAAAAAGCAAAGAACGAGGGTATCTTCATAAACGCGTTTTCTGTGCTGAACTTTAGTAAAAAGTCACTGGGAGCAAGAACCCGGCTTTGGCTATGCCATCAAAGTAGCATTGAAGGGCGGGGAGACCCAGTGAGTCGCAGGTAGGTTTCAGAGTCTTCAAAAGGTGGCAATGTAAGTTTCCATTCAGAAGGATTTGTACTGTTCTCGTGTAGCGTTCACTGTACGGATAATGACATGCAAGAACTAAGAAAAGTTAGTGTTTTTCAAAGACAAAGCTTCATTCTCGAAAATCCAAACCATATTGGTATCGTTTCTTTTTAAGATGGAATGGACGTGGTTCGTGAAAAAGAAAACACTAAAGATGAATCCAGAACCTAGCGTGTATGGGGCAAGTCAACCAATATTGCAGTCTACAACCACTTAGAATAAACCCCCATTTACAACTGACCATCCTTTGGGGTCGAATTCGGCAATGTTGAGGTTAGGCGCAGAGATTTAGGTAACCGTGGTCGCCCACTGGAGCAAGTAGCCGACCTCCATAGATTATGTTGGTTGGGGCATGTGCTGCGCACGTCACCAACTAGCGTGACACGCTGCGCGATGTTGGCCGAGGCAGGTAGTGGGTGAAGAAAGCCAAGGGTAGTCATAATAAAACCTGGCAAAAACTGTTGGAATACAGTGGGGTTCGTGCATCTCAATTTCTTTGCAATCTTAGTCCACAGAAATTCTCCATTTCCTTTTCGACTCTACCTTCAACTATCCTTTCTTTCTCTTAATGTTCATCTCACTGGCAGCCAAAAGAAAACCAAAACCGGTGCACGAAAGTGCGTGGTTAATGGGTGCACAAACTGAAACTCTGAATCTGGTATCCAATAGCATTGTTCAAAAACATTCACCGTGCATGATGAAAAGCTCTGAAACGCTACTCCCAAGTTTCAGATAGCATCCCTGAGGATGACTTACTCTCCTAAAATGCGACAATTACTTAGCTTATGCCTGATTGTCAGGAATCTTTACTTCTTACTTGGACGGCAATAATAATCATACTGGTGTATTCTCCGTCTGATATCACTTGTGGTCATTTCCCCGAAATATGGTCAGATTAAGGTTCAGGAATACGAGTACAACATCCGGGATGGCCTTTTTTGCCAGAAAAGACTGCCAGCCTATAGCCACCATTAGAGAATCAACAGTTGAGTCGGGTGCTTAAACGATTCCAGTTCAAACATAGCAGCCATACAACCGATTTCCATTTCTGATTTCTTCCCACGTACCTCCATGTTTCAGAGAAAGAGAGAGTCGAAATTCGACAGTACAGCTGAGTTTTATATTACAAATGCCTTAAACGAAACGAAACAAGCACGTAAAAAGAACACTAGTTCATCCCGATCAGTAGCTTGGATAAAAGCTTCGAACCACGAAGCTGGAATAAGTCGAGCTCAATTCGCGCATTTTATTTCACACCTCAAACATATTTCAAGAACTTAAATCTTGGAGACTGCCAAAAGTTACCGCTTTTCCTTGTCAGAGTAATACTGAACACCCAATGCCAGGCCAAATATTTTATACAAGAAGGCTTTGATAACTACAGTGGCAAAACGGACAATAGTCAGGGGAATCAGAGAAATCCAGGATCATCAATCGCAAAACATCTCATGGCAACTGAACATATCGTTGACCCACAAATGTCGTTCAAGCCATTATTACGTAACTGGAACCCCAGGATTTTGGCGTTTAGCGAGGCGATACTAATCAAGTTACGTTATCCAATATTATGTGCACAAAAGTTTCTTACTCAATCAGTTAGACTGCCATGGACCTGATTTCCCATTCCACCCTCTCCTCAGCTTCCCGTTTTACCACTGTGGTTATCAGATATTCTATGATGAAGATTATGCTACTCGCATTTGATAGTAGCCCAACACGAAATTCGAACCATGAATTCCTTCTTGTGCAAAAACCAATAATGTGCGAACTAATTTCTCTTGAAAAACACTCCAACGGCAAACCACGAGCTCATTTACCATTCTTTTTTGCACAATAACTTCTATTTATCTGTGAATATCGTTCTTATTTCCTTACCGTTAAGCAGATGCCAAATCATTTCATTCGAATCAAAACAACTGGGAACGACCTTTCAAACTGTTCCACTCAGTTCGTCATTGATGATACAATTCTCGACCTCGTAAGTCTCTCCGAATACCAAATTATGCATGAAATCTGTGCCGAAAAATTGGCTATGAGCTATCCGGTGGTATTGGTGGACTGTTCCCCAGAAAACGGTCTACATCAAACTATCTTTTAAGGGCGATCACCTTCTAAACGATGTGCGCCAAAAGTTAAAGCCAGCACTGAACCGCACATTCCCAACTTCAACTTACTGCCTCTACTTGTGGAATCGATTTGGACAAACGTGTACATGGTTGGCAATCCAGTTGTCTCACACACTGTATACCAGTTCACCTGCAGTTGTGGTGACGCATAAATGGGCAGAAACAACCGTCAGTTATCACAACACATTCCTAAGAGGTTGGTGAAGTCGATGACGTAATCAACACTCGGTAATCAGGCGGTCACACGTAGGCCTTGGGTCATCAATCGCAAAATACCAACCAAACACATAATTGACCCCGTTTCCTCTTTCAAATCGTTGTTACGTAACCGCAATGCAAAACTGTTGGCAGTAAGTGAGGAGTTGCTAATCCGATTACATTATCTCGTTCTGTGCGCCCACAAGTTATTGACCCAATCAGTTCACTTGCCGTGGAGTTGACCCCTTGTTTTTCTTACTTCTAATAGCCCCTGTCTATCTGTACACGTCCATTTATTAGGATTACAAATCCATTATGTTATAAATGTGCCTGTTTGTTTTACGTCAGCGATTGAGAAGATTAAACGAAATGTTAACATCTCGTGACATGTCTTCTTTCGGTCTTGATGCAATGGNATAAAGCGGACCCAGTGTTTCCAATTCCTCATTATTGCCATTAAATGTTTAGCTGTCTTAACTGGGCACATGCAAATTTGAATT